ATAATATTTTATTAAAAAGGAGGATGTTTATATAATTAAGAAATGTTAACAGTAAATTTTATAATATATATAGTAAAATAATATTAATATACTTATTTATAATAATATTTTATTAAAAATGAGGCTGTTTATATAATTAATAAATGTTAACAGTAAATTTATCATATATATATAGTAAAATAATATTAATATAGTTATTTATAATAACATTTTATTAACAACTAAAAATATATAAATGTGGAGGACCATTTTATAAATAAAAAAGTTCAACTTCATTTTGGAGTAATGAGTTGGTTTACTCCATATTTGGAGTAATCATATTTGTTACTTCATTTTGGAGTAGGTTTTGGAGTAGGGTTGGAGATGATTTTACTGCAAAATGGAGTTTGGAGTGGATTTTAGAGTAGGGTTGGAGATGCTCTAACCCACTAATCCACCTATCAATCCGGATCTCTAAGTCTCGTCCCCCCCCCCTCCTCAAATATTACCCACAATTTTCACCTCTTCTTCTCCATTTCTTTTTTGAAACACTCTCCATCTTTCATAATTACTAGGTGATTTTCCCGTACTCATGCACGGACATAAATATTTATAAAATAAATATACTATAATAAATAATTGATATTTACTTCAAATTTAAAATTAATTTATAATTTGTAGGTATAATTTATATTAATAATATTATATTAATTTAATTATATATAATTTTAGATATGTTATATTTCGTCAGTTTTATTGTTTTTACGGTTGATTTAGTTATCATTGAGTTATATTAGATTCTATCTATTTCTCTAAATTCAACTATAATCCTTTTTATTCTAAATATATATAAATTTTTGATTAATTATCTTATTTGCATTTATGATGGTTGTTACCTTAGAAATATAAGTATATTCTGATTCTAAATTATATACTTAAGTAACTAATAAATTTTTGCAAGCTTATGAACACATATCAATATTTACATTATTTAGACTGATTAGATGGTAAACTAAAATTTATTTTTAAAATAAGGATTCTGATTTGTTTAAGTATTCTGATTATGGTTATATTAAGTTCCACAAACATAAAAACAGAAAATTAAAAATCAAAAGAGTTATTAAGAAAACATATAATTTTAACTATTAAAATATAATATATCTACTTAGATAAATTATATAATGTTATGATATTTTAAGACAATTGTAGTTATTTGATAAAAAGATGTTTATTATTAAAATTCATCTTTAGTTTTGTTTTTAATATCTCTTAAAATATGCAGTAAAAATGGTATTGTTTTTGATAAATTATATTATATAAGTAAATAGAATTTATATTTTTTGCTGTAATTGTAAGATATTATAGTCAAAAATATACTAAAATAAAAACAATATATATTTTAAGAATACTAATTATAATTTTTTGTCAATTAAACATATATCAGTTTATGTTACTTAATTATTTTATGTAATCATCTAATAAAATAGATATATACAAAAACAAATACTTTGAAAATCTATATATTTATTGTTTAAAATTATTTTTTAAAATAAAAAAAATATCTCTTTTCTAATATAAAGATTAGTTGTGTGAACTTTTTTTATGGAATCACATTATATACGAATATTGTTTTTTCATCTAAGAAGATATAGTTATAAAGTATTTTATTACTTCAAAATTATATTTATGTTATTTAAAATATATTTAAATTAAATATTACTATTTTGTGAACTTTCTATTTTTATGAAACCATATTTATATATACTTATATTTTCTTTTTTAAATATTTTTGTAAACTTTATACATGTTTCCTTTTTATTTTATATTGTTATTTAAAAAAATAAAAGGAAATCATAATATTTAAATGTATTTTTTAATTCATTAGGGGTATCATAGTAATCAACCAGCGTGAGAGTTAACGTGAGCGTGACAAATAAGAAAGTGATTTCTCAAATAATATTATAGAGATTTTCCAAAAATTAAATTAAAAATTAAGTGGCATTCATCTAATCACTTTTCTATTACTCCAGTTTCATCTATACCAAAATTAATTCTAATTCAAAACTTTAAGAACCAAGATTTTAAAATTTTCCTTTTTTATCAACAAAATATATTTAAAAAATATTTAAAACCCAAACGAATAAATAAATTGGGCATTTTCAAGTATATTCGTCGTTCATTTTCGACGACGTTACAACGGCCGAAATTAAAAAAAAAAGAAAAAAAAAAGAAAACTGAAAGGAGTATACAATCATCGGAACTGTTTTTATCAACTCCACATAGTTTTCCTCGAGCGATCTCCTCGAGGAAAAACCTCGAGCTATTTCTTTGTGAAAAAACTATGCGTAGTTCATAAGAACTATTCTGGTGACTGTGCACTCCCTTCAGTTGCTTAGAAATCCTTGAGTGTTCTGATTTTTTTTCTTGATTCTTTTTTTCTTCTATTTGTTTGTGTGCTATTAAGATTGAGCAACTGACCTATATATAGGAACTTTTCGAGCTTGGTAAGGAAAGGTGTAACAACAATTTTACAAGAAAATATTTTACTAGTGATTTACAACTGCACCACATAGGTTTTACAATGCTTTTAAAACGAAATTAGTTAGACGAAGCGCACTACATACACGTTTTCTCCAAAATTAACGGTAACACGATTCGTCGTAAACGCCTTGGAAACTTACGTGTAATTTACGACGAAGTTTCTCTTTCCTCGTCCTTTCATCGTAACTTTACAAATAGTTTACGAAGAATTCTTCTCCATGTAAATTTACGTCAAGTTTACGGCTAAACTTGGTTTAGTCGTAAAGAACAAGTAATATAGTCGTAAGTATACGAAGAATTATTTTCGTCGTAAAATTTCGTTGTTATAGAAACGTTTTCTTGTAGTGGACCCTAGTTCTCAAATATAGCAAACACTTACAAGTACAACAATCTGTTGCTGGAAAGTTAAAAAAATTATAGAATAACTCATAGCCTTGTGACAAATTGAGCATTTGATAATCAATCTTGTGGAGTGTCAATTAGAGGAGGGTGTTCAATATAAAGTTTGAGGTGATTTAAATTCTTAATGAAGTTTTAGATGAATTTAATAAATTGCAGAATTTTTAGTGGTTTTTGTTAAATGAGTGTAGAATAATATCACCCAAAACCATGAGATTTGGATTTTAATTTTTGGGAAGTTTACTAGAATGACTCAAATTTATTGTGAAATAACTAGAATGATTCTTTTCTTTTTAAAATTACTAGATTATTTTTTGGGTCAACATTACCCTTACTTATAGTTATAAAAAAATTAATGACCAAAGTACCCTCAACATTAGGTCGTTGGACGATTTATTTGCCGAAAAATATATCTATCGAGCATTAAATCTGTTTACTAAATCTAACAAGAAAATAAAATCTATCATTAAAGTGGCGGTAGATTTTCCTAGAAACGTCAGATTTGTTTCTATGATAGAGTTAATTGTCCGATTTCTATAGAAAATAGATTTTTGAAATATAACTTCCAAATGAGATAACAGATTTGTTATAAATGCTAGATATTTACAATCGATTTAGTCTCCTATGGCACAGTTACATAACCGATTTCCATATGCGACAGACGTTTTAAATATGAGGTGACAGACTTTTTAATTTATGAGGTGACAGATTTTTAAACTTATTTCTGGGTTTTAGCAAACCAAACACAATTATTGTCGAATTAAACCAAGTTTACTACAATTCTGAGTTTGGTTTATTTCTAATATAATTAAGACCACAATTAGGTCTAATTTTTATAACTATCGTCATCTCTTCTCTTAAGTGATGAGTAATTTGATCTAGTTTCAGACTTTGGTCATTAGATTTCATATTTTGGTTGGTGCTATATTCGGTGGTATTTACATTTACACATTGGTAATTTATCTTTGGTTTACATTACATTTCATATACCTTAACTTTCATTCTTTGGTCATTAGGTTCTTTTTGATCTATTTTCAGGCTGGTGGTTTCGAACTACTTTAAGGCTTTGCAAACGAACCTTTATATACATAAGGTTTTCGATCAACACTAACATGAACCACATAGAAACCACAACAAAGCCTATATAAACAGAAACAAAGTTAAGCGAGCCTATATATACATAAGAAACTACATAGAAACCAAAGTAACAAAATAAAACCTGCCAAGTTATACATCCATCCAACCTCTGCCACTTCTTCATAGATGTCGGCTGCCAAATTCATTCGTAGTGCATGTATGATCAAGTTACTGCTTCTGCTATTTCAATACTCATTCGTACTGGACCATCTAGAATATAACCTATGTTTGGAAATATCAAGTTACTGCTACTGCTAATATCGTTGCCTTTATGAGATTAGCGGTTCTTGCGTGTTAAAAAAAAACTATCATAGTTAGAATGCAGAGGGAGAAATAAAAACAAATAAATCATGATCAATTTTGTATGTTATTTAAAGAGCAAAATGAGTCACTGAATACAAATGGAATCTGGAACAAGTGATCTCATGAATCATCATCAGCTAAGAGACGATATCATAGCTAGAAGACAGAGAGTTAAAAAAAAAAAACAGACTCATGAATCAATGAACAAAATGTGACACTGAATAAAAATGGAATCTGGAATATTTACAACCTTCTCGTGAATCATGACCATCATCAATAGCTATTTACCTCTGACGCTTGATAACACACAACATTTTATCCTTCATTGCTTCTTCCACAAGTCTATACTCTTCCATAATCCAAGTTTGCAACACTTCTTCTTCCTTCTCAATATCAAAATATTTGTCCTTATCCTCTTCGAAAACATGAAAACCCTCATGAAACCCATTACCTCATGGCTCATCGACAAGATTGGCTAATCACCACTCTTGATCCTCCGACCTCCAACGACCGCTATCACATCCATCGGTATAACCATAAGCCTCTGAACAGTTAGCAAATATGCAAAGTCCAGATTCTTTAAACCTCTTATCTTCATGATCCACAAGCACTCAATACACGTCGTTGGTAATGTAGCTGGGCTAGTTGTTCCTACCAGATTCGAATATCATCTGCAGATATGCACCATCGTCTTGTGAATTGGCTAAACGGATTCCATAAGCTGACAACGACTGTGTTGCAGGAAGCGTATCTGATGAATAGGATAAATGCTTGGCGAGCAAGAGATTGATCTCGGTTTGGAACAAAAGCTGAATCGTGCAAACCATGTGATCTTGCTTAGAGTTCCATTTACTCGGAAGCATGTACTCCTCCATCACCCAAGTTCCCTTGTAATCTCTCGCTTTGGTCTTTCCGCAGAACTTGAGAATCTTCTTGAACCCTAGAAACAATCTTTCATAACCAAATTTACTGGAAAAAAAGAACAAGTCTATTGATTTTAAAGTTGACGGAGTATTGAAATTGAGATTTTGGGTTTTCGAAATTAAACATTCAATCAAGCAATATATGTTAAAAAAAAAATTAGAAAAAAAAATAACTTGGAATTGGATAGCTTTAACACTTACATGTTCAATTTCGTCGATTAAAAAAATGAAGACAAATCTTTCCTAGGGTTTTTGTTGTACAGCGATGACGAAATCGAAGGGGCTGTGATGGAGGAGATGAAGAAATCGAAGGGGTCTGTGACGAAGGAGATGTTGTCGGTGTGGGATAGGGATGAAGGTGGCTCTTGATCGGAGAAAGAGAGAGACGACAAAAGTCGTGAGAGAGAGACTCGACAAACAACAAACGCTTCATTTTTTTTCTTTAGAATGATTTTATCATTCGATGGCCAAACCAAGTAAGAGAGGGGCTTTTAGTAAATTTGCTTCTATCTCATTTTAGTCTAGAAATTAAATTTTAATATGATTTATTCTAGTAATTTTTAGATTAATTTGAGTCATTTCAAGTAATTTCTCTTAATTTTTTAACTAAGAAACTCCACTCAAACACTCTAAAATCACTTGATTTTAACCCACCATTGCTTAAGGTGCGCCTCTGTTGTACCGTGTTTCATTTACCTAGAGTAAAAAAAAAAAATTTATTCTATTATAAAGAAATATATGGGGATATATTCTTTTCCTTATAAAATTTATGGAATCATGTGCATCAAGAATAAAAAACTCGTTTGGAATACTGATTAGAGTTTCCCCAATCAATTCCATCACAAATTTTCCATCTCCAACTAAATAAATAAATAAATAAATATATATATATATATATATATATATATATATGAGGAGAATGTGAGGTGTAGAGATTACTATGTATTATCAGCACATTATTTATTTTGTGTGGTGCAATATGCATCATATTTAGTCATTAACCAATGTTTCTCTCCTACTAAGTTGTGGTATTTTGCAAGAATTTTATCAACTTACACATATTTGTTAGTAAAAGAAACACTAGTTGGCTCAGGCCTCGATTAGTGCAGTCGTTGATAAAGCATTAGCAGTATGTTGTAAAAGCAATATTCTGCAGAAGTTGTATGGTCTCATCAAAAATATTAATAAAATCATTGGAGTATACAATTTTAAAAATATCATAAAAGGTAGTAAATAATATATTTATTTTAAAATAATTTATATATATATATATTTGTAATATATATTAATGATATATTTTTTATTAAAATAATGCATTTAATTTAATTCTGTAAATTAAATTATATTTGAAATATCAAATATTATTATTTTCAAAAACTTAAATGTAAAATTTCTTTCAAAATAGAAAATCTTTTTTTTTTGCATATAAACATGGGGAATTCTCTCAAATAGACCTTTTTAAGTATTTATCACAAAAATAGACCTCAAAAACTAAAACGACCCAAATAACATTTTAAAAAATATTAAGTTTTTTTATTTTAAAAAAATTTGAAATCCTATCTCCAAAAACACATTCCTTAACACTAAACAAAAACGTCTAGGATTAGTTAACCCAAATTATCATTTAAAAAAAAAATTGAAATCCTATTTTTGTGTTAACTCAAATAAATAAATTATTAATTTTTATGATAGTTTTATATATGAATCATTTACTTATATAAAATTTATATATAAATTATCATTATTTATTCTTTGGTAAATGAGTAAATGATTCATATATAAAACTATCATAAAAATTATTATATGATATATAATTTATTTATTTTGGAATAATATAGATATGTTTATATTTATAATATCTAAATATATATTATGTTATGTTTTGTTATTAAAAATAACTAATGATATGTGTAATTATATAACTTATATTATATTTTAAATGTGAAATAGTTTTCTTTTAAAGTTTTTAAAAAATTTAATCGAAAATTTTATTTTTAAGATATATAAATTTATTTTTATAAACATAGTTTTTTATATTATTATGTAAAATAAATTAAATATGTGGAACTATTTTCAGTTTTTATATATTATAACTATAAATGTTCTACCAAAAGTTCCATATGAGAGAATTGAGCAAAGAGCATTAGCATCTTGTAAATGATTTTTTATTATAAATATTTTTCTGATAAATGTTGATTGGATAATAAAGAACTTAATCCTTATGTTCTACATTTCTTTTAAGATGAGACTTTCTTTCATTCTCTTCCCTTTTAGAAAAACATTTTCCCATGAATTCCACATCTCGTAATCTGATTTGTATTATACTTCCATCTAATTGTTCTCTGAATAGAAAATAACTTTTCAATGTTCAAAAAAATATAATGAAGACATACTTCTTTCTCTAGCTAATATCCAATTTGGTACGAAAATGTGAAGTAGTGAACAAATGTTACAACCCACAAATATCTCAATAACACTAGATCATGCTTTCTTTCTGTCCATAATTCATAAGGACTAGAAATAATAGATTTAGAGGGCACATGGTTAAGTGTATATGCAGTAGTTAGTAGTGTATCATCCCAAAACAAAATTTAAGGCTTACTTGCACCTCATACACTCAACTGATTTAAGAAATGAGGGAAGGATCAGTTTTCTATCAATAACCACACATTTAAAAACCTATTAAAATAGATATCACCTGCTCGATCAGTTCTCAAACATTTGGCCGTCCTCTCCAACTGATTTCAATCAAAGTGATATATTGTCTAAAGCACTTTAACTCTTTTTATTTGCGAGAATCTGGGTGCATATACCTGAATCGAGTAAATTCTTCTATAAAAGTGATGAAATCTGAGGCCCCATGCCTACCCCTTACATTCACCTGACTATGAATGTCTAAATAAAATAATTGCAGTGAAAGCTCTACTCTTATTGCTTTTCCGTCAAACCTGGCTCACATATGTCAAGACCAGCTAGGATGAGTGAACCAAGAAGGATTTCTCTAGCCAAATTATTTAATTGATCAATGCCAATGTGAGTAAATCAAGAACTTGTGACATGGAAAACCACGATCAACATGACTACCAATAATGATTGCGGTACAGTCATGTACAATGAAACCATCACAAGCATAACTAGAACTAAAGAACATAGATCCCAGAAAGTGTTTAAACATATATTACAGATTTTCAACCAAGTTCTAACTTAAGTAAACCCAGAAAAACGTACAAGACATCATATTATATGAAAGAATTCCTGCAATCTATGTAGCTGGTAAGTGTCAATATGTGGTACCACAACCTTATAGTTATTTTCCACATACAAACATCTTGTGTTTTTTATTTTTTGAGATACCCTTTGGTACTTCACAAGTGCTTTTCAATTTTTATTTTTCAAAGTCTTCCACATGTCTTTTACAGTTTCATACGCTTCAGACTCATGCATGAGATCATCATGCCTTCAACTCAACAATATGATGTGAGAAATGCTACTTTCTTAATTTAGACAACATAGCATCTTAATCTATCTCATGTTGAGTTGTAGTGTCTTTCTAATTCTATTCCAGGAAATGGAAAAAAACTTCTCTCTCACATCTTCCTCATCGAAGACATCTTGAATTTTCTTTTTTGAATTATACAAGGGTATCCCGACAGCCACAGAAGTGGGTCCAGACTAGCCACGTGCTACCCACGTGTCGGTCCAATGCCCCTAGCGATGCTGAAATGTTAATTTCTCAGTAGCCGGGACCCGAATCCAGGTGGCTTCACTGTGTTAGACTTTTGCCTTCAAGTTAATTACTTCTGGGTCACAAGCTCCGATTCATATTGAACTTTTCGATACCAAATATCATAATTTATCATTTTAAAATTTATCTTCTCAGCTTAGTTATCAATGATGTTCTTAAAAACAAACACATACTTGCTAGAACATATAGAGAGGTTTATTTTTTTTTACATATTTTAACCATATAATAAAATCTTGCAATGAACATAAATTAAATCTTAGTAATTTGATTTAAATACAAGATCGAGAGTTTAGTATGTTCTCATTCATCACCCATATTAAAATCTTATTACAATAAATTAGTTTCTTTCATACAAAATTTCAAGTTTTGAACACATAAAGGATTCCCTCTAGATTAGTTCTAAACACAATAAACTCATACTACATAAATGTGTTTTCTAACATGAATTAAAAATATACAACATGTTTATTTTACACAAAGATCATTTTAGTTAAATTAATACAAACTATGACCAAAACATATTATCTTAATATATTTCTAAATGTATGCCAATATTATGCATATCAAATGAAAGATAATTTTAACAGCCACACAAACATAAAAATTATGTGATTTATATTCAGAGAGATATGAGCATAATAAATATGAACTCTTAAGACACATTTGAAGTGACACGTGTCATGTTACTATTCATATTTTTCATATGATTTATTTTTATGCAATTCAGTATAAAATTTTGACTCTTATATTTTTCATATTGCGTAATCATATTTTACGCATCATTAATCAATAGAAAGATAATTTTAATATCTACGCTCATACATAAAAATAATGCGATTCTGATCTATAATCAAAGAGATGATGAAAACAATATTTCAGGTTTAATAACTATTTCTCTAAATTCATGCAGTATATTCCGTTTCTAATGAAATACTTTCTAGTAGAATTCATACAATTATGATGAACACATATGCAAAGTTTCAATTCATTTCATCATGTGTTCATGTATTCACCATATTTAGTTATTTTAAGCATTAACCATTTTTTTTAATTTTTCAGGAACGAATATGATTAGCTTCATGTTTACAAAATTGTTACCAAGTCTACGCTAAGTGTTAACGCCAATCATGATATTTTAAGTATATGGCACACGTGTGTAGATGAAGTGTAATTGCATTTTAAGTTATTTTATGATAACGCTGAACAA